GTGTAGCAAAACTGTAATAAAAAGATGTAAGAAATGTCAACGAAAACGCTAACAGCCGATGTGAACAGCCTTCAGCCCACAATCCGAAAACCCGTTTTCAAAGTGTTTTCGTTGTCGGTCAGAACATAGTATAACCGAATATTTGTTTCTGTATATATTCATTTGTCGGTGCTGTCAATTAAAATTTCCTCACTTAATTAGGAAACTAAACAACCAGAGTTGATCACAAATTGATCCAGGTTTCTATCAGCATCACATCGATGTTAAATTTGCGTAACTTTTCTCTATCCAAATAATGTAAAATAATAAATGAAATCTCGATCGGCGATCACTGCAACGCACTGTATACAAGAAAAGGAATGTTGCCACTTCTTCTCATAAAACCATGTTCGAATCGAGGAAATTTTGGAAGATCACAGGGTTGCTTTTAGCATTTAGATTCTTAATGCAAAAATTGAGTTGCATTTAGATGACGAATTTTGTATGGATAAATGTACGTTTAGAGTGGCATTTAGAGCTAAATGCGCCAAATGTGCTTTTACGTGTAAGCAAAAACAGCCCATAAGAATTCATGCGTTCTGCCGCATAAACGTAGTGACAGTAAAGGAAAAATGGCCGATGCCAAATTTGCCGTGGTATCGGGATTCCATAGGGCCCTGTCACACGGTCAGTAATTATCACGATATTTGGATCGCGATCCATATTGATGGATTGATGGATCGCGCACGAATGCTACATGTTCAATATTTATCGCGTCAGTATTTGCACAATTTTTGTGCTGAACGCTTCTGACTGAAGAAAATATTTTGATTTTGTACGTATAAATTACAGATAATGCATTCCACATTTATTTTAAAATTTCCAATGTTAGTTACAATTTTTTCAATTTGTTTTGAAAGGGTTTAAGCATCGGGACGCGAAGGCAGAGCGACAGCCGGTTCTACGTACCGGAATGACTCGGGTTTTACCCGACCAAGGGCTGTTGTTTCGGCGATCCAACCCCGTTTAAGTCGGCCAAATCCATCAAACGTTGCTCGATTCTAGGGCTACATCTTCTCCGTACCCTTCTGCTAAGGGCTGGTATAGAGTCAAACCCAGGGCCAGAAATCAACACCTGCTGCGTATGCCAAAGACGACTGCATACAAGCTCCACCTTGGTCAAGTGCAATGCCTGTGACGGGTGGAGTCACCTCCGTAACTGCTCGGGCCTACGTACGCACCGGCAATGGACAACGTCGTTCGTGGCCCCAGCTGTGCAAACCGGACCGCCTCCACGGCATACCACCACCCGCCTGGGCAGCATACAATCAACACACCCACACCCCAACACAACACAACAATAGACACACAAACAAACACAACAGCACCCACACACGGCCGCCGGCAACTCCTAGTCCCTCCGACAATCTGCTCTGTTTATCAGTCCAGAATATACCGTAACGTGACATCAGTCAAGTGCAACTCTTGCCTCGGCTGGTGCCACTTTAGGGCGTGCTCAGGACTTCGCAACTCGCGAGATTAAACGAGTGACTATGTGGGCCCCTGCTGTGCTGTCCCGTCGCATCCCTCCCCCGCGGCGGCACCAACCACCAGCACAAGGCAGCACCCCCTTTTGCAGCACGTACAGCAGGGGGCCGGGCGGAAGAGAAATTTGAATTATAAGTGAAAAATCAGTTTAAATTGTGTTAATTTGCAATTTGTGAGTGATTTTTGAGTTGAAGACTGCGTAAAAGCTAATACAATGAAGTGATGTGTGTTAAATTGCGACAGCCGTCAAGATGCAAGAAGCGTAGATGCAAGTGTAGCGCTGGGACGAATCGCTGCATTATGTGTACATAGGGCACGGCAAAGCCGTTCCCGAAATGTTTCTCTATTATTATATTACCAGCATTTCCTCACAATGATTCTGTTTCTGCTCCACGCAGCCTCTATTAGCAAGTTAACTAATCAATCCCGCAAAGATGCTGCTGCAGTTTTCTGCAGCAGCCTTAATTGCAAAGCAATGGAGTGTACTAAAACGTTTGCTGAAGCAGCCTCAATTGCAAAGCAATGGAGTGCACTAAAATGTTCACTGTTCTCTAATAGATTAGGTGAAAAATGCAATATTTTCGCATTTAGCAAAATTAAAACGCGTTTTTCGCTGTAAAGTGAACTGCTTTGGCAGTTTCAACTCGTTCTTCTTTTCGCTTTATTCTTTGTTTACTTGTGGTACACAAATGTCAACGCCCAGGACGGCGCAATCTTGTATTCTATCATTCTTGAGTAGTGCCATATATGTAATAATTATGAACCAAAAATACAAGATCACGTAAGAACACGACGTTGTATTTGTAACTGGGTTTGAGAAAAAAATTGCGAAAGCGGGTTCGTCAGCTGAGCGTTTGTTTACATCACAAGCACCACTATTTTACACTTTTATTCAAGTAAAGAAGAGTAAATTCAACATGACAACACATTTTAAAGCATTTTGTTGGATCATTTTACCTAAATTGTGCGTTTAAAATGGGCTGACAATAATTTTGGCTAATTTTGGTTTTCGTTGTTTTCTTTGCTTTGTTTACTTTTCGCTCGTTTTCCACTGAAACAAGATGGCGTAGAACCCGCTCAAAAAATCGACTTTTTTCACGCTCTTGTTCTTACGCGATCTTGGCGATTTCAGAAATTTTCCCTTCAATTCGCCTTTTGGAATACGAAAGTGTCTTTCGAACGTCACTTTACATTCAAGGTGCCGCTGTTTATGTAACTGCTTTCTGAAATTTCCCAATTTGATAGTCTTTTGAAATATACTGCTTTGCCACGTCTGACATGTTCATAAGACAGCAATGAAACCTCCGCTATTTCCATGCTTAAAAAAAATGACGCTTGCCATGAACCAACTAAACAGATCACCCAGCACGGCAACCGTGTATTTGTAATTGTATCTAAGAAAAAAAAAAATAATAGTTAATAACGGCATTTTTTAATCGGTTGTTTCATGCACACACAAGGTTTCATTCCGTTTCATTCCCATGGCGGCGAAAAAAATTTGGGCACTGGAAAAAAATTATTTTTCTCGCACACCGTCCTGGGTGATCTTTATTCGTTCGTTCATGAAATAATGCTATAATAATGTTCACTTTGAACCAATACGTGAAAATGTCAAAAGCGCTAGGAAAGAGAAGACGTATCAATGGGCTATTTCACATTAGAATGACAGAACAATTATTCTCACGGTTTCACACTGGATGAAAACTAGCAGAACAAAATGTGCATACGTACAGGACGTTTGCATGTGTTTGTAACTTTTGTGCTTGAAAGTTGCGTAGCGGCATGTTCGTAGTTGCGCATGTGTTAGTGCGCTGTGGCAGAACTGTCACTTTAATGCGGGGTAGAAGCTGGAACAACTTTTTGAGAAACTTTACCTTGCCGCACTGCCACCCCTGCCAATTGGTGAAAAATCTGGTGAAACCGTGGGTTATTTTTCAAAATACATTGCTAACCTAATATAAATAGTTAGTAATAAATATTATGAATAAAAATTACAATTAACATTAATAATAAAAATATTTTTACATACATATGTGGTTGCTTAATTGCTTATTATTACTACTACTCCTTTGCATTTAGCTGTTTTCAAAAGTTGCAACATTTTAATAAAAAGTTAAGCGATTTTATCAGTATTATAATCAAAAGAAAGGTAATCGATTTACCTTTCTTTTAATATATATTGACAGTTGAAAATCATTTGTACTGGTTCACAAAGATTCAGTTTTGTTAGAACTTTGCAAAATGTGACCACTTTTTCACTTCTTACATATAATGTTTTCAAAAGTTGCAAAATTTCTATAAAATAGTTAACCGATTTTAACAATATTGTAATCAAAAGAAAGGTAATCGATTTACCTATGTTTTAATAGATATGGACAGTTACAAATCATTTGTGATGGTGCACAAAAATTCAGTTTCATTACAACTTTGCAAAATTTTACCACTTTTTCACTGCTTATATATAGCTGGTTACAAAAGTTGCAAAGTTTTTATGAAAACGTAAAGCGATTTTACCAATATTATAATCAAAAGAAAAGTAATCGATTTACATTTATTTTAATATATATTAACAGTGGAAAATCATTTGTAATGGTGCACAAAAATTCAGTTTCGTTACAACTTTGCAAAATTTTACCACTTTTTCACTGCTTATATATAGCTGTTTACAAAAGTTGCAAGGTTTTTATGAAAACGTAAAACGATTTTAACGGTGTTATAATCAAAAGAAAGGTAATCGGTTTACCTTTCTTTTGATATATATTAAGAGTTGCAAATCATTTATGGTGGTTCAGAAAAATTAAGTTTTCTTACAACTTTGCAAAATTTGACAAGTTGGACCTACACTTTGAAGGTGCTCCTGGCGTTGAAGGTGCTGAGGGCGGAAGGTACCCATGGTGCTCCTCGCGATGAAGGAGCTGAGCATAGAAGGTACTGGTGGTACTCCTGGCGATGAAGAAGCTGAGGGCAGAAGGTTTTAATGGTGCTCCTGGCGATGGAAGATGCAAGCGTTGAAGGTGCTGATGGTGAATCCCAAACCTGTAAACAAACAAAAATATCAATTCAAATTTATAAACAAATAAAAAGTCTCAATACATACCTTAAGAATGTGACTAAGTCGCTGCTGTTTTGCAATCTAAAAGAAGAAATTACATTATAATTAAATAAAGTTTTTAAATACGTATCCTTACCTTCAAAATTTTCGCAAAGTGACATTTCTTCACAGTATGTATACTGCCATCAAAACTCCGATGATTCTAACTTGCTCGCTCTAACGCATAGAATTCTTATTAGAGTACGTATTCTTATCGGATATGTAGCTCTAACAAAGGGAAACTTTTTTGACAGTTCGAACAAAAAATTTGTAAGTGTGTATGAGATGACTAAAAAGTTGTGAATGTGTTTGTAAATCGTTTGATTTTCAGGGGAAAGTGGTGAGCCGTGGCTGGCAGGGACCCTTGCTAAACAACCAGAGTTGTTCTGGTGCTAGAAATGTACCAGTGTGAAACCTACCAATGAAACGATAGTGGCGATAGTCCTAAAACTATCGATAGTTAATTCAAGTGGTCAGACTATCGGTAGTATCGTCGATAGTTTGATAGCCCTTGCATATAGTCTTAAATATGGCTCCTCCGGCCGCACGTCAGCGATATAATGCAAATAAATCGGACAATGGAGTCGGTCTCACCAAGAAGCCACCTAGGAAGCTTGATAGCCAAAAAAAGGATTGCAAGAAGAGGTTCAAATTGTTTTCAGAGGTTAAACGTTTTTCAAAATTTATCATTCATAGTTCGAATGGAACGAAAATATCTTATACTGCGGCAAAAAATACAAAATCAACAATTGTCCCAAGCGTAGAAACAGCATTTAAGACATTTGTTAGTGCACGGTTATGCAGTGCTATATGGGCATATATATCTGATTGCGACGAAACTTTCAACTATTGGGAGCCACTTCATTATATCATTAATGGACACGGTATGCAAACTTGGGAATATAGCCCACAATTTGCACTTCGATCGTATACATATCTCTTATTACAAGGGGTGCCCGGATGGATATACCAAAAGCTTTTCAATCCAAGCCCTTTTTTAATATTTTACATGATACGATGTATTTTAGGATTTGGGTGTGCAGTTATGGAACGTTTTATGTATAAGTAAGCATAATTTTTTTTTTAAGTATTTTCTTTAATTTCTGAATATTATAGGTCAATCTGCCAAGAGTTTGGAATACATATAGGACGACTGTGGTTAATTTTTCAACTATTTAGTGTAGGCATGTTTGTATCAAGCACCGCTTTATTACCGTCTTCTTTCTCAATGTACTTTGGATGTGCTGCCATAGCTGCATGGTGGCAACTGAAGTACAGCCTAGCGATATTTTTTGTAGCTATTTCAGCCATCCTTGGCTGGCCATTTGCAGGATTATTGGGAGTTCCAGTCGCTTTGGATATGCTATTACATAAAAGAATGTGGAAAACGTTTATAACGTGGGCGTCTATTTCTGCAATAACAATTGGTTTACCGATGGTTGCAATCGACAGCACCTATTTCGGCAAATTAGTGATCGCACCTTTGAATCTAGTAATATATAACGTTTTTACTAGTCATGGACCGAATATATTTGGCACCGAACCATTGAAGTATTACTTATTTAATGGGTTTTTGAACTTTAATGTCATTTGGGTGAGTTAATTTCTGTTAAATAAAATTTAGTTTACTTATAACCTTTATATTTTAGCTGCTTTCTCTAATTACACCGGTTATGTTGGTGATTGATCACTTTCTAGTGCCTGCGAAATCCAAATCAACGCTTAATTTTCCACGATATTTATCATTAGCGCCTCTTTACCTCTGGCTGTTAGTTTTCTTTCCACAACCCCACAAGGAGGAACGCTTTCTTTTCCCCATTTATCCGCTAATATCACTGTGTGGAGCTATCACTGTCGATGTAATTCAACGCATTTTTTTTAGACTGAAGTCTGTGGTTAACAGTAAAACTATGGCAGGCTCCCACTATTTGGATCACACTATGTTCATAGCCGTTTTCGTTATGCTTGTAAGCACACTGTTGGGTTTGTCAAGAGTATTCTCTCTTTACCGAAACTATCACGCCCCTATGGATGTCTTCATGGAACTGAACCAATTTAAAGCGTCGCAACAATATAAGGACGATCGAATATATAACGTATGTATTGGGAAAGATTGGTATCGTTATCCTGGTAGTTTTTTTTTTGCCTACAAATAATTTTCGTTTACGCTTTTTGAAATCAGAGTTTCGAGGCATGCTACCTTTTTATTATGCCGATGGAGAAAATGCTACTCAAGTAGTGCATCCATATTTCAATGATATAAACCAAGAAAATGAAAGCGCTTATTTTGTTTACAATGACTGTGATTTTTTGATATATTTCGATGAAGGCAAATATACAGACCTAGAACCCAATTACACCAAATTCACCAAAGATTGGATCCCGTCGAAAACTTTGCCATTTCTCATCCCACATAAATCACATAAGCTCTTTAGAGCTTTCTATATACCATTTCTAACTGATAATTATACTTCATACGGAAGTTTTTATTTATTAAAGCGGAAAATAAAATTAAGTTAAAATAAAATTATAGTTTAAAAAACTAAAACCTCGCTATTAAAATTTCCATTCGTACTGTCATCAGGTTACTTTAAGAATGTAAGTTTAAAGTAATTCCCATTCGTACTGTCATCAGGTATGTAACTTGAGAATGGAAATCGCTGCTTCTTTTTGGTCAGTGATTTCCAAAGTGGTCCAGGTGTCCAGGTGTCCACGGGAGACTCGACGGGGGTCTACGTTGGCGTGAAAAAAACATTTGGGACCATGAGTTGTAAGTGGGCGTCCACGAAAATTTATATGGTTTCGACAGTAAAGAACCAAAAAGGTTGCTTGATAGCCTCTTTATTTAACTTGATTTTTTTTCTGAGTGGTGTATAGTGCTCTTGACGCACTGCTGAACTTATCATGACTTTGTGTTATCTTACGTGGGGAAGCCTTAAAGGCCACCTGCAGACTAAAAAGAACCGGATGTTGGTATAAAACTGAGATTCAATACTGTTGAGTTCCCTGAGACTGAATGCTAGTTTAATTCCATCAATGAGGCCGGACTCGCACATTGTCGAATCTTCGCTGATGGCCCCAAAACTACTCTGGGTTGTTGTTGTTGTTGTTGTAGCGGCTACTGAGCCCCGTTCGGGACGGTTCATCCATCATCGTTGTCGTCTATTTCAGCTAAGGGGAGGCCCAGGAAGTGTGCGACTTCCACAGGGGCTGTCCATAGGGACAGGTGCGTTAGCTGAGTGGGATTCACGGGGCATGTGAAGAGGTGCCGGGAGTCATGTGGCGACTCTCCACATGCCGGGCATTGGTTGGGCACATCCTCGTTGATTCTACTCAGGTAGCTGTTGAGCCTGCTGCAATAGCCAGAGCGAAGTTGGGCTATTGTTGGTCGGGTCTCCCGAGGCAGACAAAGTTCTGTCCCGTCCACGTCCGGTGGTTGTGTGCCTAGAACGGCATTCACCGGGCGGGAGTCTATATAACTTGAGACTGATTACCTGTAAATGCCGTTGAGGGCCTGTCGGTAGGTTGTCGGGTCCAGACGTTGTTTAATATACCTCTGGACTTCGTCTGTCAGTTCGTAAAGATGCCTCCTGTCGCGGCACGTAATGCCGTGTTTTGGCAGGTCTGCAGCTTCATCCACTGCGTCCTGCTAGTCCCCGGCGACCATACGGGCGCTGCGTAGTTCAGAACCGGCCGGCCGATTGCCTTGTATGTTGCCAACAACGTTTCTTTATCTTTGCCCCAAGTGCTGCCGGTCAGAGACTTGAGGACATTGTTGCGGCTCTGTACTTTGTTGACAATTGCGGCTGTATGCGCCGAGAAGGAGAGCAGACTGTCGAAGGTAACTCCGAGGATTTTCGGGTTATTCACCGTCGGTATTGTTACGTCATCGACGTGAATACCCAGTGGCAGTCTGACCTCCTTCGTCCAGGTGGTGAAAAGGGTTGCCGAGGATTTCGCAGGGGATAGGGCTAGGCTCCTTGCAGTGAAGAAGCGATAAAGTTCGGAGAGGTAACCGTTTACTTTTGAGCACAAGTCATCAATTCCATTCCCAGACGCCATGATAGAACAAGTGTGGCGAGTGAGGTTGGAAGGTTTGCAAGAGGAATTCGCGTCCGTTTTGACATCAAGATTCGTAAATGAATTCGCCGCACATTTGATTTCGCGGCGACAAAGAACGTTGAGAAAAAGTGTTCGATTAAAGAAATAAAGAAATGAAATGACAAAAAACATGGCCGCAACTCTTTTTGTTTATTTGCCGAAGACATTTAGCAATTTGCATGCGCATGTGCATAGTTTATTTATTTATATTTTAAACAAATGTAAGTAAATAAAGGGCCTGCGCTATACAGGACCTTTACAAACTTCGTGTTTAATATGGAAGTTTTAAAGTTGTAATTATGAATGCAATTACCTTTTTTATAACAACTCAATGTATATTTATAATCAATAAGTAATTTATATCAATTTAATCAAATATACTCATCCATTTCCCCCAAACATATCTACATTCATGCAAAAAACGTATGTACATATACGCATATGCGACTAAAATACAACAATAACAATTTCATTCATAAACGCATGCGCATATTCTTCAAGGTCAAACTCATTCATTCATAAATTCAATAGCCATACATCTCCCCGCAACATTTGCAAAAATAACTTATCTCGAGTTAAGACATTTTTTCTCTAAGCTTCTAAATCGCAGTGCTCCTTCCAACTTTTAAATTATTAATTAGTTGTTTAAGATTTTATTTTAGTAAAAAACAAAATAAGCATACATTTTTTGCACAAATGGCCCCTGAAATTTTGATGTAAACTCAAAACTTTTAAAATCACATACATAAGTGGTTTTACAACAAATGTAATTTGGCAACATGGTTGCCTTCACCAGCTTCGGCCACAAATTTAAACATTTTTGTAACCGAGCGAATACGATTTGTTTACAGTTGACTCTAGATACGTCGAGCAATATGTATAAGAATTAAAAAAATTTAATTTTTGCATTATTGATGATTGCAAGGCTCTGAAGCATGTATAAGTGAGTGTATACTCGTACATACAGACCTATTCTGCGTTGGTAATATAAATTTTGTTTACTATCATCAAAAGCTTCAAACACAAAATCGTACATTATTAGGCCCATTCTGCGTTGGTAAATTTTTTTTTACCGAAAAATAAAGTTCCTCTCTTTTTTTAAACTTCGCA